TTATGAGTAAAATTTGGAGGTGCGCCTTAATTGGATTGTTTAAGGTTGCAACCTTATAGGAACCACACCCAAAAGCAAATGAGTAGTATCTACTATTCAAAAAGTAAATGAATAGAACTATGGAAAAAGTAAAAGTCACGTCAATGATTTATGTCTTCTTCGAGTGGACAGTTGTCTTTCTTAATCATCTTCGAGGACATACACATTTCTTCTTTGAAGGCCTCTTCAAGTTCTTCTTCTATTTCTATTATGCTCTATGCCATCTGGATTTCCTTATGTTGAAAAATTGCTCTGATCTATCTAGGTGCTCTAGATAGGCATTGAGAGGCTCCATGACCATCTTGTCTACAAGAAAAACAAGGTCCTCTAGGAGCTGGATTATTATTTTTTTTATAAAATTTATAAGGCTTAACAGATCATTTTTTGGGATATGCTCCTTTAATATTATAACATCCTTTGGCAGTTATTTTTGGAAATTGTTTAGGGGCATTTATATTATTTTTTTGATGAAGTTAATTGTTTAGAGCCATATATATTAAAACATTATTTTTTAACTTATGATCGGGCCAAAATCACTAGTCTTAGAAGATATGATTGATTTTACCCGATCAGAAGTTAAAAAATTATGTTTTAATATAAATGCTCTTAAACTGCCAGAGGATGTAATAATATTGAAGCAGCAGAAACCTATAATATCCCAAGATTTTGAAAAGCGTATAGAAAAAGATCTTTTAAGCCTTATAAATTTATAATAAGGCTCGCAATCCTTCTCAATACTCATCCAAAGCACCTAGACAGATCAGGGCAATTTTTTAGAATAAGGAAATCCATATGGCTTAGAGTGTAATCGAAACAGACAAAGAACTTGAGGAGGACTTCAAAGAAGACAATGTGTATGTCCTTGAAGATGACTAAGAGTACAATTGTCCACTCGAATAAGACATAAAGCATTGAAGTGACTTTTACTTTTTGTATAGTTCTGCTATTCTTCAGCTTTTCACTATTCATTTACTTTTTGAATAGCAGAAACTATGCATATATTTTTTGAATAGTAGACATTATTCATTTACTTTTTTTGAAAAGATATAAAATTTACTATTCCTGAGCTTTTTACTATTCATTAGCTTTTTTGAGGTGATGTAAAGGTGTTATTATTCATTTACTCTTTTTTTAATAGGATTTGATGTACCTTTTTTTTTATTCAATTTGATGTAAAGGAGCAACAAAGATTTCCTCCCGAGGCCTATAAATTGTACCTTTTGCATTCTAATGAAGCAAGCGAGTTGTGAAATCAATTTGTTTTTTGCTTGTGACCTTCTTATAAGCTTTCCTGATAATGGGTAAAGTTACAAAATTCTTTCACTGTTTTATCAGCTTATTTTTTTCTAATATGTTATTTAGACTTATTCCAGCTATTGCAAACACTTTATTGACAGATGTCAAATGTGGCATGGGTACTCAGGGGCCATCATGCTTTTGTTCGAGGGTGACTTTGGCAGTATTCTGCATACCGGTGATTGTAGGCTTACTTACAATTGCCTAGAATATTTACCACTCAAGTATATAACCAAAACAGGGAGAAAATCTGTTGGATGTCTGGATTACTTATTCCTCGATTGCACATTTGCGAGATACCCTTCAAGGATTCCAAGCAAGAAAGCTGCTATTGAACAGGTTCTTGCCCATTCTATTTTCAACATAATATTTTTCCTTTGCTGTACTATTTCAAATAATTCCTAGTGAAAGTAATCTGTAGTCCACGGGACTATTGTATATGGTACTCAAGGGGGACATCCATCCTCAGTTCCCATTGATGTGTGGATAGTGATTAACTGCAGCGCAACCCAGAGGGACATCCACCTGGGTAATCCTTGGTGATTTAATCTCCACCCATTCATTCATGAGAAATGAAATGTATCCTAAATTACCATTACAGTATGGTGTACTTCCCTATACTTCCGATGTACACAGTTCTGACTTCAATGTTTTTTCTTTGATGCAATTTCTCTTTGTTAGCATATCAATTAGACACTTGAGCTTAGTGGTTTGAGTTGATTTAAGATAAAATATTATTCAAAACTAATTATGGGGAATTATAACAATCTGTTTGAACCAAATTATGATGTCGTGCTTTGAATCTTGAATGGGGAACTATGAGTCCTACCAACACCAAATGATTTTGTTGCAATTCGCGGGTTATGTGGCTATGTTTTCCATTTCCTTACTTTATTAGAAGTTGATATCGTCTAATCGGGTAGCTATATGCTTAAATTCCCCTCATGGAGTATTATTCAACTTCAGTTTAGAGGATTCTAGGACACTATTCTTGATTTACTTACACTCCTGGACTTCATTTTTGGCAAGAGACATTTGTTTTTATTTTTTTATTGATAGTATAAAATTTAGGGCCTATTTGGATAACTATTAGTTTTATCCGCAATTATCTTATCTGAAATTAATAACTCTTGATAATGTTATTCTGTTAGCCGTTTGGTACATATTTTGTATTATGCATAATATTATGTAAAGGAAGCATCTACAAAACGCCTATAGGTGAAGTTCTACGGTACTTCACCTACACCTCATCACCGACCAAAGTTCATCACACGGTCACAGTTGTCCGGTAGTATTTGAGTTTTTATAATTTTTGTACTAATCAGATTTATCTAAAATTTGGGGCATGTGTACATATGACCAAGTCGCACCAAAATAAAATATTAAAAACATAAGAGTCTTAAAATAAAATAACAAAATTACCCCTGAAACTTTATAGGGGTATTTTGCATAATTTTTGTCATTCAAATTGTTTGTTTCATATTTTATTCATGTGCATCTCACTAAGGCGCACACACTTACAAAATTTCAGATCATTTATGATTTGTTGAAAAAATATTAAAATTAAAATACTATCAGACATTTGTGATCATGTGATAAACTTTAAACGGTGATAAAGTCATAGGTGAAGTATTGTAGAACTTCACCTATAGGTGTTTTGTAGTGTTTTGCTCATGTAAATCAGTAAATATTTGACTTTTCAGTGACTTCCTGCTATTTTTAGTTATTTCCAGCCAAAAAAATTTTCTATTAAACTGCCTATAAGTTTATATCTTATTGCTTCGTGATGAGCACAATGTCCGACAAAACGATAGTTAACTTGTTACTTGGATTAAATTTATTGAAGTAGTGAATTATCAATGATAATGAGCACATCCAAACAGGCCCTTATCTTCCATCACTTCCTAGTACTAACCTCACATAGAATTAATTTTCACTAATTCTAAAGAATCCCTCATATCCTTATCCTAGATGCAGATGAAACTTGGTGCATATTTATCGAACACTTCATAATGTATATAAATCTATGTTGTAGGTCATCAGTTGCATATGGAAGCACCCAGATGCCCCCTTTGTCTATCTGGCTTGTGATCTTCTTGGACAGGAGGAGATCCTTATTGAGGTATCAAAAACATTTGGATCCAAGATATTTGTAGATGATTCTATCAATCCTGAGTTTTCCAAAATTCTCTCCATCACGGCACCCCACATCCTCTGTCAAGATTCCTCTTCACGTTTCCAGGTACAGCTTGTATTATTGCAACAATTCGAAAGTTACTGTATCTGTGTAAATTTGTACAGCTTAAAATGTTAGTATTCTTGAGCAAGAGAGAGAGTGCACACGAAGGCGAATAAAAACGATTGAAATGCGTTCAAGGATACTTATCTGTTAATTGCTACCATCAGGTATGTGAAGGATATTCAACCCGACTGTATGAAAAGGCACAGGTGAAGCTAATAGAGGCAAAAAACAATATGCAACCTGAGCCTCTATTTATCCGACCATCCACCCAATGGTACGCATGTCAAGAGGGCATTGATAATATGAAACAATGCAAGCAGAGATTGAAAGAAGCAGAGAGAGACCAATTTGGGGTATGGCATGTTTGTTACTGTATGCACTCCTCCAGGGAAGAGCTTGAACTAGCCCTGAAAAGGCTCCAACCCAAAAGAGTCATTTCCACCACGCCGAATTTTAGGGCCATGGAGCTTAACTATGTAAGAAAGAACTGTTCCTTGTCTTCTATAATGGACAATGACCCGCTGTGGAAGCTTCTTGACATCAGAGCAGATAACCCAACTCTTTTAAGCTCATGTGCATTATCCAGAAGTGATGAGTTAACAAGAGAGGTGGTTTCTCTGGAAGAACAAGATTCAACACTAAGAATCTCCACAAATGTTGATAAAGAGTTGAAGCTTTGTAATTCCACCATGACCAACTCTGCAAATTTAGTTAAAGAGGGGAAGACATCTGATATTTCCATGACCAGAGCAACAAATGTGGATAAAAAGTTGGGTAATTATACTTCCATCATGGCAAAATCCACAAATTTAGACGATGAATTAATGACCTCTACTTCAACCACAACCAGCTCAACAAATTTAAGTGAACGGTTTTCACAGACTTATGATTTCACCAGAAATCATGCGGAAGAGATCGTGGATTTGTCTTCTCCACCACTCAGTAGCAGACCCATTACTCTCTTTGGAAAAGCAAGAATGGGCCTTCAAGAATCGCCTCCCCGTCCCCTACAGAAGGATACCCTTTCAGTAAACAAAAATAGGATTCCTGGAACAGTGCCCATTGATTCGTTGCAGAAGGTCCCTTATAAAGAAGATGTAACCTTGAAAGAGAATGAGGCCACCGCTGATACAAGCAATGAGTATTTGAGACATGAAGGCGGGATTGGGCCAAGAGAGAGGATCACTAACATTGGTGCCTCCAGGACTCTTGATCCGAGCCTTAGGAAGTTATATAGGGCCATGAATGTTCCAGTGCCCCGGCCTCTTCCATCTTTGACAGAACTTATCAGAGTTGCGAAACAAGCTAGGAGGGAATATGGAAAGAGATGAAGTTCTGCATCTCAATATTGCAATTGTTTAATGATTTTTTGCTGATGTATGTCTTAATAATTTGTGTAATTCATCCCACAAACATTTGTTCCATATGCATGCTCTTCAGTGCCCAATGCATGCTTACATTCAATAAAGGTTCAACAGATTTTCTTAGAAGTTGACTAAAATTTCTATAGAAGTATTTCATATTGTTTGAAGGGAAAGCATATGCACGAAGACTGCATTGGATATGTGGTACACAGCCGGGTTATCTACTGTCAGATCTTGACGAGCTCCCTGTTGTAGACATTCACAGGGCTGCAGTTAAGGTCTGCTAGTTGAGGATTGACAGTTTATACCTTTCACAGTTCCTTTAGATTCTTCTTCCAATTCCGCTTTTTCTTCTTGGAAAATCTAGCCAAGCTAGATCAGTTAGTAAAATATCTTCTTTTATTTATATTAAGAATAATAGCCTTTTTGTACATTCAGTGCAAAAAAACATGGCATCAGCTTGTCTGCGCCAAAAACTCGTAAGCTTGCACAAGGAAAACTTAACTATGAATTAAATTTTAAAAATAAAGAATAAACGTGGGAAGGCTTCAATGCAAATAGGGTTTGCTAATGGATATGATTTAAAATCCATTCTGAGGTGCTGATAGTTATGATTTTATTCCATATTAGGTTTGATATTTACTGAGGGAGGTGCTTTCATTTCTTAGACTAACAAAACGCAATGCATGTCACACTACGCTGAGCGCTGTAAAGCTGCCCGATGAGGCGCCTAATTTCATTGGAAATCAATGGTGAGGATGGAAAATATAAGCTGGGGACTTTTGGATAATAACTGTGTTTTCATCGAGTGAATGATGGAAAATTTTGGATATTACATACGTTAAATGTCATGATTTCTTAAAGTAAATTGAATTACTTTATTTGAATAGAAATTTATCAAAATGGAGGATGTGGTATTTAACATTTTGCCTTTGTAACCATTTCAAGATCATGCGTTTTTTCTATGGGTATTTGAAATTTAATAAAAGAAATATGGAAAAAGTTCTAAATTATTTGTCAACCATAGGTAATTTGATAAATTTCCTTTATTTGAAAGTCAATGAACTTATTCCAAAAAAAAGAAAGGAAGAAACTAGATGCCCTATCGGGTGAAGAATATTCAAAATTCTCTCTCTCTCTCTCTACTAACAACTCTTCCACTAAATTTGTTCTACACAGCTTCTTAAAAAATCAAAACTCCTAAGTTAATACAAAAAAAATAAAAAATTAAGTTAGAGAAATTCACTTTATTGTCATGTTGCATTTTAAACTATATTTTGACGATAAAAAAGAATTTAATAGATAACAAGTATTTAACATGAAACAAATTCTCAATATTTACATATTTTTGACACAATAATGAAAAATTATAATGTAATTGCCACTATTTCTTTTAAAAACTTAAAATACTAGATTTTGAGAAATTATCGTGATTGTTTGAAAAAAAAAAAAATTAGGCTGAAACCAATCGATTCTGCAATCAGTATCACCAATCCACCGATCCAACACAGTTTTGGGGTGGCCGATCTAGATCGCCGATCCATTTATTTAAACCTTACCAATTCCCCTCTCCCTTTATCGAAAATGAAGTACAAAAATAGAAAAAATTCCTCCCCCTTTTCCAAAAATGAAGTACAAAGATATAAAAAGTTCCACTCCTCCTTTCTTCAAATATGAAATTCAAAAATGTTTTACGTGCTTATTTCGTTTCCATTTCTTATTGTTGGTTTTGCTGGTAATTTCAGGAATACAAATAAACCGCATAATTTGTATGAGTATTCACATGAATCTATAAATTTTATGCAACTATTTACCTACAAACTATGAAGTTTGTTATCAAATAGCTTAGTAATAGCAATACCACACCCATACGCAACGCTACCCTAAATAACCTAAATAATTATCGAATTAGACAAGTAAACAGCATAAATTACACAAACAAATAACGCTTGTATGTTGCTAAGTTTTCAAGAAAAAATATTGTTTAAAAAATGGAAAACACTAAATTAAATACACCACTCTACAAAACTAGTTAAGTTGCCAAATTAAACGCATTTCCAAAGCATATAAAGTCTTCTACTTTTGAATGCTCAAAGTATTACCTGCTCACTATCAAAAGATTTCAAATCATATAAACAACTTTTAAGAAACTAAAAACTTTCCCTCTGCTGCAAACTTAAAAACTTTTCATCTCAAAATATCACCACAATGGCCAACCTAAAAAACAATTTACCATCAAATCAATTTGTAATTTTCACAATGCCACTATATTCCACAGGCTTGAAAGGGAAAATTGAAATTAAAAAAAAAAAAATGAAAACTCTATTATTATCTAAGTCAATCTTATAGCACTGCAAGCAAAACCTCTTGTGCCAACTTCTCTTCAATACACATGCATGCAAAACAAATATATGCATGTGTACACGCACATGCATGTGAACATTTTCCAAATAATGCATGCACTCATGCATAAATATACAGGAAAAATATTATGAATACCCATTTCTTCATCAACACTTTGCTATTTGTAAGCGTCAATTGTCACATTAAAAGGAGTAATCCTTTAGATCTGAATTGGGGTCTCCTACTTCCACGTCGGTCTCACATTCCTCCTTAGTTAGAGGGGGGAGTTGCCTTGTCTTGCGCCTGAGATTATGCTTGTGCCACTCACTCTTGAAGTGGTCTCTGTACTGCTTTGAATCTCCAACGAAAGCATTACAAGTACCACACCTTTGTTGCTTCACCTGATCTTCGCTCTTCTCTCTAGAGGCTGGCCTCTCAGATATGGCATGTTGCTGCAATCTTTCAGTCAGTGAAGAAGGAGAATCACTCTCCTTTGTGGAACTCAGGGTGGCCTTATCTTGGTCATCATAATTATCAACATGGGCATCCCCCTCAAAATGAACTGAAACAGCAAGTATTTCTAATCGTCCCTGGCAATTTCTCACTAAGCTATCACAATCTCGGAAGAAACCAGGATCCATTTCACAAACCTGGAGTACATGACATACAGAGCACTAGTTAAAATCAATTCTCTCTCACGAATACACAAGGATATTGACTTTACTGACCTCTCTAAGTGGTTTACTTCAAAAAGAATTGAGCATTACCCACATCCCCCGCTTTAAATTGTTTTGAGTAGGTTCATTTGTCAAAGTCACTTTGCAAATGATATGTAAGACATAGGCATAAATGCATGGTTATACATTTAGTGCCTCCTTAAGGTGGTGTCACCACTCAACAATGTGTCACAGATCAATGCATATTAAGTGTGCTTTTCCTTATTTTTCACAAAGTGACACTGACAAATTATCACAAGAATCGTTGTAAATTACAAGACGGATAATTTATGTCCAAAACTTTTTTATGGAAGGATGATGAAGATTACCCCATAGGGAGAAAATCACGTGTTCAGAGTTTAGAATCACTTTTTAGCCAAGTATTTAATAATTTTTATCACCCATTTATGTAAATCAGGATTCATCTTTTTTACTGTATGCATACCAAGGTGAGCTGATTTCCTGAATCTTCTCTTGAAACAATGTGAGCATTCCATGTACTGAGCTTTTCGATAAGAGGAGGTGCATTCTTCTCAGGGACAGTTAATTGAAGTCTCATGGGTGACCTTTTTATAGGAAAGTGCTTCTGAAGTTCCCGGATAACTTCTAAAGCCTGCAAGAGATCGCGGAAAAATCACAATATCATTCAGTGCAAAGCAATGAATAAAAACACCAGCAAGACCTTTCAATTTCTTTATTGGTGAACTGATTTCATTCAGAAATAAGAGTGCAAATATAAGTAAAGAACAATGAATAAAACCACCAGCACTACCTTATATTTCTTTTTTTATCTTTATTGGTAAACAACAAGAATGTTAGCATAAGTAGATATATGCTTTGTTCAGAGAAGTGTTTCAGACTCGACATTTTATTACTAATATATGCCAAGGCACAAAATGGTTGCAATTTTGTGAATGTAAACCCAAAAAGGCAACCATAATTGTCTAGATTTCGCATAAAAGTTATCTCAAGGCTACTACCCAAATAAACAATGCTTGAAAGCGAGTCTTAGGGAGGTCTGTCAGGATTCTTGTAAATTTACTATTTCAAATGGAAAAGAACTTCCATACTTTGTTTCTAACAAAACTTGTCTTTTACGAGTATGGTGCATGAAAACCTTAAGATGATTCAATTCAAATAAAAAATTAGATACAATCCCCTCAATCCTTTATACCAATAAAAATAAGTACATAAGATTAATTCATAAGAAACTGAATAGGGAAAAAATTATGGGCCTAAGATATTAAATGAGATATACTCGATCGAGAAACAATTTGCAAACCAATTTCAAGTTGGTTGCCCTTATGGCTACAAACTTGGCTCCTGCACTGAGTTGATATCATTGCTGAACCTCTTTTTTTGGGGGGGTTGGGGGTGAGGGTGCAATCACAGTTATCAGAGAATGCTATGATTCCCTATACCTACTATGCTTTCCTACTTTCTTTGTGTTTTGCTATTCTCGTGTTTGCTTCTCTGGCACATGTTTCCGTCTGTCAGGCACTTCATTTGTTTCTCTTTCTTCTTTTTCTTTTGTGACTTACGTGCATATGCCTGTTCTCCTGTTCTCCCTTGTGTATTTCATCAATATCTCTTTTCTCTTCCTTTCTTTTCATGTGTGATTTGGCTTGTGTTGGCTAGCGCTCTTCTTTCTCTATCAGATTTGTTTGCTGGAACACTCATCTTTGTTTGCTGGAACAGTGAAAAGCATCAAGCATGTCCTTCATTATGTAAACAAAACAAGGTACTAATTCCTCAATAGTATTCACATCTCATTTAAAAACTGGATCAGGTTAAGAGCAGGGTCTTATTTCCAACGGCAAATTGTCTGGTGCACATCCTATTACTCCACTACAAATTAAAGACCTCTCTGATTAAATCTTCCTCTTTTATATTGATAATCAATTTTGGTTAGTAAATTTTCGGAAAATTAACTTTTGTTAAAAAATAAGAATCATCATCATCATGATCTGGGCCTTATCCCAACTACTTGGAGTTGGCGACACGAATCCTGTTCAGCCATTGGTCGAGGCTTAATACAAATAGATGTGGCAAAAGTTTTATACTGGCAACCAACCTAACACAACAATCCTTTCTCGGGCTTGGGATCGGCATATGCCCAGCTTGGTATCGGCCATGGCAATATATGTGTATGTGTGTGTGTACACACACACAGTTTGGTTGATGTGGTATTCAAGCCACTGATGTGGTGATGCCACTGTCAACAGTCTAACCTTTTCCTTGTTCTTTTGAAAGGTAACACCTAACACTAACCAAAATATACAGAAAGAAAGGTAACAACCTTAGCTTTCAAGCCATTGCCCAATCTCACCGAACAAGAATAGTAGCTGAATCAATTTCAATCCAGAAAAATAGTTGATAGATTATTTCCCTCAAGCACCTTTACAAATGTATAAAACATAAAACATGGTTTGAATACCAAAGTATCTTGAATACCAGAGGACCAAATGAGCTAGGATTTTCCTTCACATTAAAATTTAAGCTTGATACAGCCAACATGAGTTTTCCAAGTTTCTATTTTTCTGCTTCAGAGCCGAGACTATCCAAGTAAGCAAAACACTTCCTTTGTCAAGCAAGTGAAGCCTCTCCAATCTTGTCACTCGTATGTTTCTATAAAGGTTCAGAAACTCATCTCGGTCAAGGCACGAGCCAAGTAACTTGGCCAAGTTTGGGTGGATTCAGCCGAGTCACATACAACCAGAAAAAGGTAAAGAGAAAATGTTAAAAAAAAATAAAAGTTGTTAAAATAAGAAAAAAAAGAAGAAGAAAGAGGTAATATAGAGAATTAAAAAACTAAAAAGATGAAAAAGATATACAAAATAGGGATTATTGAAAATTTTGATTTAGACTTTGAATATTTCAGAAAAAATTTAAAAAAGGGAAATAATATGAAGTTCTCAAATCATTTTAAAAACTACCAAAGTCATTTAAAAACTTATTTCTAACAAATATAGTGGTGTTTCCCATTTTCTTCTACATTGTTTTCTTTTCTTATATATATATATATATATATATATTTTTTTTTTTTTACTACATTTCTAAGGGTGGTGGGGAAAGTTGCCATGGAACTCGCCCCTACTTGGCCTGGCCAATAGGGCAAGTCTGAGTAACTCGCCCAAGACTGAATGGACTTGGGCGAGTCATGGAAAGCTCGTTTGTACGATATGGTGGGACATAACTATTTTGTTCAATTGATAAAACTTTACAAATTTCTAATCCAAAAAGGAAAAAAATAACTTGTGAACCCATGTACTAAAAAAAATTCCTTGATTAAGGGACATGAAAACCTTCATCATGATCATCATAGCCTTTTCCCAATTGTTTGGGGTCGGCTACACGAATCCTAGTCCACCAATCTACTCTATTAAGTGCCATACCATCAGTGAGGCTATAAGTCCTCATATATTTTCGGACTACTTTCAACGACATCCTTTTGGGCTTACCCCTTACCTTTTTCAATCCTTTCACTTAAACCAACTTGCACCTCCTAACAGGTGTTGTACTGAGTCGGCGCCACACATGGCTAGCCCACCGAAGTTTATTCTTTGTCATCTTATCTCTGATTGGTGCCACACTTAAATTTTCCCGAATGGATTCAATTCAAAATTCTATCCCTTCTTCTCTTGCCACTCATCCATCTCAACATCCTCATATCACTACACTCATTCTATGGGTATACTATTTTATGTCTGCCCAACATTCCGCCTCATAGAGCAAAGCTGGTCTCATAGCTGTCCTATAGAACTTGCCCTTCAATTTTGTTTGTATGCAACGATTACATAAAATTCTAGTTGCACATTTCCACTTCGCCCACTCAGCTCTAATTTTGTGTGCGAAATCTTCCTCAATCTCTCCATTTTCCTGAATTACCCACTCAAGATATCGAAAGTGTGGTCTTTTTTGTACTTCTTGACTGTCAATCTTAATTACTTCCTCGTCTCTACTCCTATTTTTACTAAACTTACATTTCATATACTCTGTCTAAGTCCGGCTAATTTTAAAACCTTTGGATTCTAGAGCATCCCTCCTAAGTTCTAACTTTGTGTTGACGTTGTTTCAGGTTTCATCAATCAAAACTATATCATTTACGAACAACATGCACCAGGTACCGCATCCTGTAGATACTTAGTTAAGTCGTCCATAACAAAAACAAAGAGGTACAGGTTCAATGCTAACCCGTGATACAGACCTATTGTTACTGAAAACTCACTTGTCTCTCTACTAGTTGTTCGAACAGTAGTTAGCACTCCATCATACATATCTCTCACCAAGTCGATGTAGCGTCTGGAGACCCCTTTCTTTTCCAACTCCCGCCAAATCAAATCTCGAGGTACTTTATCATAAGCTTTCTCTAGATCAATAAATTTTAGACCATATGGGGGTCTTTTCCCTTTGCTCTAAACTTCTAAATCAGTTGCCTAAGTAGGAAAATAGCCTCAGTTTGTTGATCTTCATGGCATAAAGGGACATGAAAACCTTAAAAGTCATAGTTCCAACTTCTATAGAACAGATAACCGAACCAGTTTGATCCTTTTTTTGCCCCTTGCAGTGGGGTAACAGTGGGAATGGAGACTGGGACATTATGCTGAGGCACTTGCCCCCGAGCCACCGATGTCCCGATCCCTTTCCCTTAAACCGATCTGATCCTCACTTCATTTATCAATATTTATGGACTTGGTATAAAATTTAACCGAGATCAGTGAGACCACGTCCTACTTCAAACATGCAAAGAGTGCATTAAAATGGCAATAGCGAACAAATGACACAAATATATGTCAATAGGGCTGAGGAAAAAAGCATTGTTCAAAACTTGTATGAACAGAGATTACTAGCAACTGTCATTACACTGTTATGTGCCAACATCATTAAACAGATACAAGTCCTAGATTAGACAGTGTCAATTTTGTCGCCCTCCAATGGAATTCAAATCTCAATTAAAATTTTCATCAGATATGTAACAACTCATTTGAAATCAGATCAATTTAAGAGAAGTTCAGCATTTTCCAAAGGGAAAAAAATCAGTGTCACAGCCTTTTTCTGTGTATCAAGTATCCAAAATGAAACATAGAAGTGCATTACTTGGGTGCAAAACATCTATTGAATTTAGAGAGACAACTTGCTTACATTTTTTGCCAAAAGGAAGATAAATGAATTTTCTTTTTTACAATAAATACACTTAGCAGCCCTAATCGTACTCCTCGGGCTCCCGTTTGGAGACCCCCCGACACGGGACACCTTAGACTCAACTTTGATGGCCGTTCTCTGAGTAACCCCAGTCCATCGGGAATTGGCTCACTTATCAGGGACCACACTGGTGCCATTATCGCTTCTACTTCCAAGACTATTGGACATGCCGCCTCCAGGACCGTTGAAGCTCTCGCTTTACTGGAAGGGGTTAGGCTATTACTCCCCTTTAGGCATACCCCAATTGTCATTGAGGGTAACACAAAGAATGTTATTGGTTGGGCGTCTAAAATTTCTCCCTTCCCATGGACTCTAGCTCACATTTTTGATGAAATCAATCACCTTTGCAAGGATATGCACGTCAGATGGAAGCATATTTGGCAGGAATCAAACCAGGAAACTGATACCCTCGCTAAGGACACAGCATGCATGGATAATTCGCAGATTTTTTTTGATGGCTCATTTTTTATGGCCCTTAATGTTATGTTATTGTAATTTTTTGTAAGAAAGGCCATTGCATAGTTCTTTCACGAGTTCTTTCTGCACCCCTTTGGGAGTATTCGTATATAGAGCTTAAGCTTGTGATAGCGAATTTTTTGGGAAAATGTAACTCCTTTTTTACTTTAATACAATGTTAACATATACAAAAAATAATAACAATAATAATAAATACATTTAGCAGCTCTAGAAAAAACTTGGATTGCTCATTTACACGCAGCAAGAAAACAAACAAACCCAATAAATTATGGCACTTGTAACAGGGCAATGTTTAATTAAGAGACTCTTTGGCAAGAGACTCTACCAAAAGATATGCCAAGCAACATAGATTTTAGGAGACAATGCAGCCAGTACCCTCACAGCTTTGGCCCAATATCAACAAAAACTTACTGTTTTCTGTCTGAATCTTTCAATAATTGAAACCAAAAAATTTATGTATCACTAAATAAGATCAAAGTGGAGTGAAAAATAATAATAATAACAAAATATTCCATAGCAAAGTGGCAAATTTTATGTATCACTAAATAAGACCAAAGTGGAGTGAAAAAAAAATACTAACAAAAACTTCCATAGCAAAGTGGCTTACATTAAGAGCGAATGAAAGAAGCAGATCAGAATAAACAAATATGAAACATGCAGTGTTTCTCTTTGTGATGCAATAAAAAGAAAAAAAAAATGCTATGTCATCCTACAACTAAGACAATTACATTTGCTATTAGAGTTTTTATTGATATTCGTATGACTCAGAACTCCACAATAAGACAAGATTCAAAGTAATTAAAACTAGGGAGCTAGAAACATCCCAACCCTCTACCCTAGATGACATGTTACACCATATATAGAATCATGACGGTATAAACCTAAGAGAGTTGAGAAGGCGAAGAATGCCGCTGCAGATAGAAGGCTATGCCAATTTATGATATGAAAACCCAAACATCATGAAAAAGCAAAACATTTAGCACTTTAATCAATCAAACTCCCCTAAAACATGATTGAAAATGAATTGGGAGTAAGGAGTAGAGGTGTCAAATGGGTCAACCCGATAAGTCGAGCTGACATGGCTCCAAGTGTGGACCTGGATACTAAACGAGGTGGGTTGGGTCCGGGTCCATTTGACTTGGATCCAATACGGATCGGGATCCATTCTAGACCTCATCAGATCAAGTTCGGTCGACCCAACCCAATATATACAAATATAATACATGTATAAATATGTTATAATTTATATCTTATCAATCATACATATTAAAATTTATAAAATGCTCTAACATAAAAAAGAATCTTGCTCATTTTTATAAATGCTCTAACATAAATATTAGAGTAGTTTTAGTAGAACACAAATTAAAAATATGAATCTAAATTGAGAAAACAAAATTTACCCGAATTTTCAATCTTCATGCTCTGTGTGAATCGAAGTCTCCAATCTTTGTCAAAGCTTCCTTAGACAATCAAAATCAAAACCACCAAACTATTTTCAAGTTTCAAGTTCGGATCTAGGAGAACGGAGTTCTTGAAAATTTTGGATGAATAGTAAATTGAAATTTCAAATATCTCCGATCCTAATATTTTGTCTTTTTGTGAAAACCAAGCCTATAAATGGATAAGAACCAAAAATAGGCTTAGAATTCAAATTTCATCAAAAGATCGACCAGAGCTTGTGAACAAATCGACTCGTGAACAAATCACAAAACTTCTGAAGCAATCACAACTTTTCTAATTTAATGAAACCCTTGCCAAAAATATTCGATCTAAAAAATCCATATGTGATTTTTTATCTTAAATCTAATGTCTCTAATGGATGAATCAGGCTAAATCTTTATAAGGACTCAATTTGTGCTCAAATCCCTGACCCTAGAATTAAAATGAAAGAATACAAAGAGTAAGAAGGGGGCCATATTTCCTCCTACCCCTTTAAACTGATAAGCCTAGAATTCTCGGGTGAGTACTATAGTCAATCATCCGAGTATATTGTGAAACTCGGGTGAGTCAATATTCGGGGAGTATGTCGCATGAGTACTGTACATTGTACACTTAGGTACCCTGTCCTGGCCAAGCTACTCGCCTAGTCTAAATTGATTTGAACAAGTTTTTGACAACTGGACCAACACTCAAACGGGATTAAACAAACCTCTCTTTAATTGCCATATGGTTCCACTTTAAAAACTGATAAAATAAGTGCCATCAGTTTTGTACAAAATAAAATTATTGCTAGGTCATCATCCATGCGCACCTCACACCAATTAATGACCGCAATCCTTAGGTCCATAGAGATTACATAACGATATGAAAGCAATTCTTGTATTAAGATTTCTCATACCAAGCTTGTATAATATGGGCCTCTACAAAGTTACAACGTACATGAATATGATTTAGTAACCAAATATCCAGGCCTGCATGTTATACATTTTTGGTCTTTTTGTTTATACATTTTTGTACATCCTTTATGGATTCTTTCATCCATCTTCCCCAAATTTAATGATATACAGTGAACCACCAAAAGAAAAAAAGGGCAATGATCTAAGCAGCTTTCCACTGTGGTGACTATTATGGCCTTGTTAATATTAAGGAAAATTCCTATGCTGGAGCGTGTGATGGTAAGGCACATTGATGAAGAATCCCCACAATCTTGGAAACTCAATCTGAACAAAAGTTCATTAAGGGGACTCCTCACATTCTTGGAAACTCAATCTATACCAAAGTTGACTAAGGTCCTCTGTATAGTATCCTACTATATTTGGACCCTTTAGTTGTAACCTATGTGCATGTTGACTTGTATTGTTACCCCCACGTGGATACTTGTGTATATATAGCACACATTGCCCCATGATTTATTTAAACAATGCCATAGACATCTACGTTTTACCCAATCATTGGGCTTGAATGTTCTTTTTCCTACGTCTTCCTCAAACTTAACATCAACTAATATTTTTTCAAAAACTTTAAAGAAGTAAAATAAGATGGTGAGATATCAATCAAGAACAATGCAACAACAACATCTAAATTTTTCTGGTCAAAGTTCCATACGATTAGGGAGATATTGGCAGAATACAACAATGCAGTTCAGCAATAAAATACATGTTCAAATATTAGAAATTTCCTAAAACAAATGCAATCTGCAATATCATATCTCGAACAATGGATTGAGTTAAACAAACAAAAAACACAAGAGCAGAAAATTAACCTGCTTCTTTGAACTATTATGAGGGTCCACAGCATAATGTATTTCATGCATAAGCCTCTCAATCATACTAATTGTGTAGGGGCGTTGTGTTTCCTGGTTTATTGTTTTCTGCATAACAATAGTGGCAATATCTCGAAACTGACTCGATAATTGAGATTCCCTTTCCTTTCCTGCAACTTGCAGCTCCCCTTTCTCCAGAATCTGAAAAAACATACAACTCTCTCAACACATGAACTGTACCCAAAATATATTTTAGTTCCACTGCAGTTTACGGGCTTACTCATCCAGTGAATCTTTGCAAACAGTAAGAAACTAAATGCATTTAACTGAAACCATGTGAACAGACATCGATAAAGTTTATACTTTTAACTTGGATATCGGAACTCCAAATCATTCGTCTCTAATTCGTGTAACACTTCCAACATGGACTAGAAGTAGTCAAATCTCAAATTACTAGTTTGTGTGTGTTGAAACTGATTGAAGCATGTTTAATAACTTGCCCCCAAATTTCCCTTTGCCAAATCATTAATAACTTTGCATTTGTGGCTGAACAACATGGAGTATGGCAAATTCTTCAATTAATTATTTAGATTAATAGAAATTCCATAAAACATAAATTCTTTAGGTAAGATATACAGCAATATGAATTAACACATGAGGAAACTACTAAACAAATAACAAACAAAAGAACTTAAACCATCCCGCATGGTGACAGTGAAGCAGGGGTCTCAAACACAGTTTTGATTGAATAGTTCAAAGTTCGGTTGATTAGTTGGGTGAAGATGAGGATAGAATATTGGGGGTTTACAAATTAAAATTTACCAACCACAGACATGTTATTCCTTGGCATCCACAATTCCCCTCCAAAAGGATACTGCCCCCACCCCAATTCATCAAATTGAATTTTGATGGGACCACAACAATCCCGGAGTGTTGAGAGTCAGAGTGGTCTGAAATCACCAGGGAACCATAGTAGCTTGGAGCAGGAGGGGGGCGCGGAGCAAGAATAGGAGCAATAGATCGACACATGCAAGAAACTCCCTAGGTTGGTAGCACATTCAGTACAATTTGTTAATTAATAAATATCTTTTAAAATTAAAATTTCTAAAATAAAACTATGATATAATCCCAACAAAATATAATAAAAAAAGGCCACATAAAAGGTGGGAAATAAAAAAAAAAAAATATCAATTAAACCTTATTTTATTCATAAATAATAATACTTTATATTCCTTTGAGGTGTGCAATAAAAATTAATTTTTATCAATTAAACTTTATTTTATTCATAAATAATAATACTTTATATTCCTTGTAGTTTATGCAACAATAATCCCACAAAATACAAGGGAGCTAATACTTTGTTCATAAAAATCTGCTTTATTTACAATTTCACACTCAACAATATCCAAAAGCAATTTTATATTTTACAACATCCAAAAGCATTTGAGAGAACGAGTATAATAGCAACTAACATCCAAATGAATCATCTTCTTGGCCTCTTGTTGGCCCTTCAAGTGGCTAGGAGCAATCCCTAAAAGTTGGGATCGAGATTCTAAGTAGACCCCTATCCAAGAGCATTGGATCGAGATCCCGGAGCGGGATTGACACCTAGGTAGGTAGACCCAGTAACTATGCCTTCTATAATTTCAAGGACAGTCAACCAATCAGCAACAAAGGGAACTCCTGTAAGATCCTAGCTGGAGTCTTTACTCTGAGGTTACGCCTATGGTAGGCCCTCATTATATCCCCATTAGGAGCCTTTGAGTGTTTGATTCGATGAGGGGAAGCCAGGCATCCCAGTGAAGGGAGAATAGGACCTAGCAGTTGTGTATTGGAGCAGTTATGGAATTAATTTTGTGGAGAACAGACTTTGGAGTAAGATGGAGATTGAAGAGGATGGATAGGGAGGTGCACTTCCTCCATCTAGACTTCTATCTTGGGGAATAGATTACATAAGAGGCATCGTTAGAAAATCTTTGTACTGTGACAAGGAAATAAACCATCCCCTTTGCTGTTTACCAATGTATCAGAAGGTTTGAGTCACATCATTGATGCAGAGGCTTACATAGCCATCCACAGTGGGATCCGACCCAGGCCCTGGAGGATACTCAATTTTATGTATCTACAGTTTCTAATGACCTTTAAACAAGAGCACAAGACACGTGCTTCCACTGATTGTTCCTCATCTAGGAGACGCACTAGATGGTCTAGGACAATACAACCTCTTACTAAGTGATGTACATGCAAGCTCGTTTTACAATGTTGATGAGGAATCTCGTTACAAAAAGGAAGCAACGCTGCAACGAAAAAGTTGCACGTTTGCAACGAAAAAGGAAGCAACGAAAAAGTTGCACGTTTGCACGTCTGGAAGCGACACATTTTCTTGCATCTGGCACGACCTGTGCGGAACAAGAAGAGTATACTTACCAATACTCTCTTTCAACATTGCCTTGAGTAAACCACCCAAAATCGTGGACTCCTCTTTACAAAAAAGCGACGACTTCCACAACTTATGTGCCCAAGGTTCCACAACCCACTCCCATGAACCCCAACAACTCCATTTAATAAAAGAAAAAACCAGCAACTCTACAATCCTTGGAAGTCTGCATCATGAGGATACCGCTCCAGTGAGAGTTTGACACTAAACCCTTGACTAGTATAAGTAGTTATATGTCCTAACAACCCATCCAGATACTCAAACACCACACCATAACGCCGCCTCACATTACCCCACTTCAATCACCAACCCCAAGCCACCTACACCTACCAACCATATGTGACATGGTTCCCACATCTAATCACACTACGTCCAATCACCAACCCCAAACTACTTGTGGCTACCAGCCATCTATGACATAGTAACCCCATCTCCACCTCCCATCACATAGATGAATCCCAGTTTGCTCATAGTAATAAGGGACCTCCTAGACCAAGTCATTGGGATGCGCAATCAAATGGGACTCAAGCTGCCCAGGGTATGCCATTGACATTTTGCATTATTAATACTTGAGAATTTCCTTAAGGAGGTTGATCAAGAGAAAAGACAATCTGAAGCAACGTGATAAACAAACTCCACCTATCATTGACCAAGGGTGAGGGCAAACTCCAGCACACAAAGAGCAGATTCATAATCAACAGCTCTCATTCTTGGACAGTGGAAATAGCAGTGCACAAAAAGGAGATAGGGGTGCAATGGCTCCAGCCACCATGTTGTGAGGGACAGTCTGTTCATCAAACTATCTTTCCTTTCATGAAAGTCGTATATTACTTCCATGCAGGCCATGAATTTACAGATTTACTAAGGGGCCGTTTGGGTACTCGGAAATATATTGTCTATGAAATACATTAAAAGTGTTATGTATTACTGGCGTAATGCATTACCTGGAAATTAGTTTTTGTTGTTTGGGAAGCATCCAAGCACAACCTGGGAAATACATTGTTGCTGTTTGGCTGTCTGAAAAAAATCTATGAAATGCATTATCCTCATTTTAGCTTGAAAATATTGCATAAATTTTACCTATAGTAATGTGATTTTTTAATATACGTTTTAATATATTTCCTCTTTTAATATAAAATATCAATTGAAACGAAATAGAAATATAATTACAATTCTCATACTCATATAACAACAATTGTCTTGAAGACATGTATGTGATACAGTGAAGAAAGCGCCAATACTTACTCTGTAAATTTGTAAAGAACACTTACAAAAGGAAGGCAGACTCGTGCAACACATTAGCCAAAAAAAAAAAAGACAACAACAAATTCCAAGCCTCCTAACAAAAATTTCTAAAAAAGTAGATATCCACTTTAAATAAATTTGACACTTGTAACTGGCCAACAGTTACCCTGGAAATTTATATTTGCACAGAAAAAATAAGAACAAGGCAAACTCGTAATAACCTAATAAAATTCCCACCCTACTATTACGACACTTTACTCTAGAATTACATTTGAAAAAGAAAAAATCAGCCAATAAAAATCCTAATCCCAAATCTAACTCAGCAAACACCATATCACCGAGTAAGTACTACATAAATTACCCCCCCCAAAAAAAAAAAAAGCACACTATATCGAGACATACTTCAAATTAGGGTTTAATCATAGATACCCAAAATTAGAGATATTCTAAATGTTTTAAGCTAGAAATATATATAATCGAGAAAACGATGAACATTTCCCTGATTGAAATGGCATTAAACCCAAAAATTGTTTTTGTTCCTCAATTGCTATTCCAAAGCCAATTAGGATATTATAGGGAATCACTCTCTTTGCCATTTGTGGGAAGCATCGGGATATTATTGGAATTTGGGAGTGCATCGGACAGCTTGCTGCTGGTTCTTTGATGCACGCAAATGCTACGGTTTTGCAGGAGGAGACCAGGGTTTGAAGGGGAATAGGTAGTTGACGTTTTGCAAGAGAGGAAAAATCAGGGCGTTTTAAGGGCGAAGATCAATGCCCTGTGAAAGACAATATGAGCGATCACAAGTCTTGAATCTTGGATCGCAAGAGGAAAATGGGAGAAGTTTTTGAAAGAGAGTCACTCTTTTATGCAGACCTCAAATTTATGAGGTGTATTTTATATGTTCTAGTAGGTCCATTGTGTTTATATTACCTGTCAATCTCGTAATACATTTTTCAGCTAATGGGGACAGGTAATAGATTTCATGATATTTAGGGAAATCTTAGCTAATGTGTTTCATTTCCTACCTACTATGTGCGTACCCAAACACTGTAAATAGCATATCTCCTTGAAATTTATTTCCCTGTAATGTAAATACCTGTACCCAAATGGACCCTCAAGGTGCGAAATATAATTTAACATTGCAATATAAAACTTAAGAACTTATACATTAATTCATGTGGTGTTAATGAATAGCAAAGATCGTCACTACAAACACAAACAGACACAAAATGCTCATGCAATGGTAAAAAGGAACCAACCAATGCAATGTGAACTGGATAATCAAATGGCTATTTTAAGGTTTTCGGGAAAAAGAGCTACTTGGGAGTCCGAAAATCTTGGGTCTATCTAAATATCATCAGATGATAGTTTTCAACAAAAAAAAAAGATTTTGAGTTCTTGAAGCCTCAATCTTGGCTTCCAAAAATAGAACAGTTCTTGTTCAATCTGGGGACTTTTTTTTTTAAGGCACATAGAGAGTGCAACTTATATATTTATTTATTTTTCCTTCAATGCTGCTTACTAGGTTCTAGAGGTTACATCCCCAAAATTTGGGGCTAAAAAACTATTCCAAGCTCGAATTTTATCCAAGGGAGAAAATGCACAGTATGCTCCCATGGGAGCAGCAAATCTTTCACTTTACTTCTCTGCCTGATAGCAAAGCCAGCTACTTCACTATATACTAGCATAGGAGCCCGGAGAACTGCTGAGTTAGCTTAGCTATTGGCTGGCAAAGCAGCACCCAGCAGATTCGTCAGCCTCCCAGTTGAGCTCTCTTTATAAGCAAGCATAAGTTTCCAGCCTCTTTCTTTGCTAACGGGACTACCCACAAGCATACGCTTCCAGCCTCTTGCTTGGCTAACTGGACTACCTAGGGAAACATTCTAGATTAACTGTTCCAACTACTTAGTCAGATCAAATTTTCAAAGGATTGTTCAAAACCAACAGTATTTGGTTTCCAATATGACTGAGAATATCCAACCAACTAATTTCATTTAAGGGCAGCCCCCCATTTTTCACACCCAATGAAAATCAAATGATGGTTTCAAGTTCCACACCAAGGACAAGAAATTATGTTAAAATGCTATAAGACATTTCTCCCCTGAGATCAATGAATAGATAATCAGCAATTTAATATTAATACTATGAACAAATTAGAATTAATCTCCAGTAATCAAATCAAAATAGCAAAATAAAACCCTAATTTTTGCAACGGAAACATGTAAAAAACATTATAAAGTACTCTAACAAATATATGAATTAGCATGCCACAAAGTTATAAGAACAAGAAATAATAGCAATCTAATTTTCACAACACGGATAGCACACTGGCGATTTAATTGGCATAAACAATATCAAAAGCAAGCAGCACTAGAATGATGACTAATCTGATTTCCTCAAGGGCTGAGTAGATCGGTTATTTGAACTTAGGTTCCAAATGAATACATGGTCTATCACAGTAATAATCTAGCAAAAACCAAACTGAAATTTCAAGAATTTACGACAAACGAATAATCAAACTGACCTCCAAGCATATTTTGGAATGATCATCACTTCCAAAAGCCATAATCAATTCCTTGGACTTCGCAAGAACTCCTTTCGAAACATTGGAATACACAGTTTGTGATTGCAATACTTCATCCAAGTCTTTCTCTCTACATCGAAGAAAAGTATATCACTTTACCGCAATTTATTATCGAAACAAAGTCAATCACAAAAAATTGAAATTTTTCCAAGATAAACCAACAAACTTAGAATAAAAACAGATAAAAATGTGCCAAAAACAGGTTTAGGATTCAAAATACGTGAGCACTATACAAAATTGCGATTTATTATCGAAACGTTTATATGAAACTTTCAGCTTCTGACTACAAACGAAGAGAGAGAGATGGTTACACTCCAGAACGCCATGAGAGAACTTTGTTCTTGTAGCAAGCAATCTCGAATCGCATGCCATGTTTCTTCAGGCGAACAACCGCAACATTGGTGAGCCTCTTCTGCCCAATGGGCTGAACAAGTGTCTTCGACATCTCTCTCTCTCTTTAAACCCTAAAGTTTAAAAACTCTAAAACCCACTTCCTTGTGAATTAGGGGACGTGCGAGAAGCAAGTAGAGCTCAAGTCGCACAAATTGTGTTATGGCAGGAGAAGATGCCTGATTGCGTTTTACTTTTTTTCGTTTTTCGGTTGATTTAAATGGGGGAATAATATAATGGACACGAAATGAGTCACCTCTTATAAATCTTTTTGTCAGATGGATTTTTGGTCATATCTCTAACATGGGATCATGACTATAAATATTAAATAAATAAATTTAAAAATTAAAAATAATAATTCTATTAAAAATTTATTTAGACAAACATAGGATCATGACTATAAATATTAAATAAATAAATTTAAAAAAATAATTCTATTAAAAAGTTATTTGGACAGTTTAGTTTCAATTTTTTTAGATGGGCTACCTATTTGCATCTATCTTTAAGATGCATGTCTTATACATCGGAGGCTGTAAATGTAGAATGTAGTCCTTGTAGCATGAAATAATTTTTCTAATAATATATCGGCAAACTAAAATAACATAATAAATTAGTTTTGCTCTATAAAGTCGGAGACAAAAGATGGGTCAAAAATACCAAAAATTAGGAATGTTAGATCATTATAAATAAAGTGAAAAAAACATGTATATAAAAATAAAAAGATATGAGATTATGAGTTGTGGTTATTGTATGGATACATCAAAACTACTGAACTATAATTTTATGTTCTAATATTGTTAGAGGTGATAAATTTTTGTCTAAACTTTTAATGAATACAACAATAATGTTTATTATTTTGTCAAGATACAAAACATATGATAGTTTTATTAAAAGCATATAATAAAACAACAACAATACTAAACACAAGAACTACATTAGCAAATAACAAGAATAACAACCTAAGTTATGGGATTGTTCGAATAAAAAAGCAAAATATAACCCTCAATATATGAAGACAATTAACTAAAATCCAAAAATATAAAATAGTGGTCAATCTAAATTGCTATGTTGTGTACAATAATTAAATAGAAAAAGATTGAAACATTGAAATTAATATGTACGCAAAAAGCAATAAATAAAATGTTAAACCAAATCTACACATTTGAAGCTCATCCTGAATTCCTAGCTGCCCTAAGTCTTAGTTTACTGAATTTCTTTCTTGCTCTTTATAATGACGCTCTGTGTTTAGATAAATTTTTTTTTTTATTGGGTTACTCTTCTTTTAACTCTATCTATTATTTTAAGATATATGGTTGTTTTGATGGATTGTTTTTGAAAAATATATTGCCCTTTTTTTTTTCTAGCAACATATTAGTGAAATTTTTTGTAGTAATTTTTGTTAAATCAAAATTCTTAATTAAGACATATTTTTAATTAAGACTTATTTTTAAGAAAAAATTACAAAAACCCCAATGATATTATCAACACAACTTACCCCCTAAGCGGCTCAACGGCTTTTACGCAACGCATTTTACCCACGCCTCTCTCTACGCCTCTCTCTGCGCATCTTACCGTTTTACTCTCAGTTTTTTTTACCACGCCTCTCTCTGCGCATTTTACTGCTTTACTCTCCATTTTTTTACCACGCCTCTCTCTGCGCTATTTTCCTCCCTTGCGCCCTACGACCCGAGCTCCCTCCTTCTATGTCCCCCCATGAGCTTCCACCCTTGCTCTCTGGCCCGAGCTTTACTCTCGCGCTCTCTCTCTCTCTCTCTCTCTTCGGCCCAAAAAACATTTTGCCCAAAAAAACCATTTTATCTCTGTGAACCGAGGTCTCTCCCTCTCTCAACTAAAGATAGCAGGGCTCAAGCCCGAACCGATGAAGCCCGAGCTCTATTTTTAGCTTATCTTTCATCCCAAATCAGCCCCATCAAAGGTATAGCAGATTTCATTAATAATATCACTTAAAACACTAACTGAATCTGTCTTTTTGAAGCTCCAATCCCGGGTTTTGACACCTTGTGCTTATGATCTAGAAATGTTGTATGGTGACTGTTCGTGGAATTTTGTTATACTTGATCTGTGATTGACAATGAAGGGATGGATTGCTCATGGATTAAGGTTTATCGAAGTTTTTCTTGTTAAATTTTGTGGAGTTTGTCATTTTTTTTCTATTGTCATTTTAGAGCTTAAATGTACTTGGTGGTTGTAAATTTGGAGTTTGTTTTACTGAATTGTTTTCTTTGCATTGATTGTTTCTTATTAGATGAGCCATTGTCTTTCTCTTGTTAACATCTAGTTATTAAGAAAAATATGCCTTGATATTGTTAATTTTAATAGTAGTTATGATAGCTTCAATTTGTCAATTTATCTTCTTGTTATGATAGCTTTGATGCAATAATAGTTTTGTCAATATTGTATCACTACTCACTGAATACAAGCAACAAATGTAAGCACTAGACAAAGTCCATATGCTCGATAAGACTTTCAAAGTCTCGAACTAATATAAGCAATAGTTTGGAATGAATTTAATTTCAATGTTTCTTGTGAATAAATATTTTATTTAAACATATGCATAGAAGATTTTTGCAAGGAGTAAATAAAGAAGTTGGTGGCGGTGCAATTTGACAATTTGATAACTAGGTGTAATTGTGTCTTTTGTCTTGAACTATAATTTTGTTGTTTAGGCATAATTGATTTACGTTAGCGCTATATAAAATTGTCATTGAGAACTATACAAAATAAGAAGTTGGCTAAAATCGTTAAGATTGCAATATTCAGATAATTATTGCTTTTATTTATATGTGGAGTGTAAATTATTACAAATCTTGTGCAGGACAAAAGAAAATGAGTGATAGGAGATTAATTTATTGTATTTTTGGTGGAGACCTCCAATCAAATATCGATGGGACTTTGAATTATATTGGTGTTGATGCATATACATTTATGATTGAAAGTAGAACTAGCTTAGGTGAGCTGCTAAAATATGTAGCCGAGCATTTCTCGCTAAATATGCATTTGATATCATTGAGGTATTTTGTCCCGAGAAATAGAAGATTTATTGTGAATCTATTCATTGACGATGATATTGAGATGATGTTGAATGCACATGAAGGCGAGAATAATCTCTTCGTTTATATATTTGATGGGAGTGAACAAAGGGGTGCAAGTACTTCATGTAATAGTAGAGCAATCGAAGAGGTTAGACCCCCTCAATCCTCTAATGTTTTGCACTCTGGTTCTGAACAAAGCAATGCACCAAAGTTGCTTAGTTCATAGGAGGATGTACTTACTGGTATAAGGCAACAATTTGAGTCTCTAGATGACTTTCAATAAGCCCTTAGTAAGTTTGCTATAGCACACCATTTCACATACCATCTTGTTAAAAATGAGGGGTATCGCGTAAGAGCGAAATGCAAAGGTGATGGATGCAAATGGAAGATATATGTTTCGAAGTTAGGCACGACATGTTTTTAACATCAAAACATGGATAAGATAATACTCATATAATATTGGGACAAGCAATGTGAAAGTGGATGCAAAGACTAGAGCAAATTTTCAAGCCAAAAAACATGACAAAATGGACACCTTTAACAAGCCACTTGCTAAAAACCAAGATAAGTGAATAAGTTACAATCTTTTTACATAACAATTACAACCATTTCTAGCCTTGTATAATCGCTGTAAATAAACGCAAATACTAACCCCTTATGAGGCAATCACATATAAAGCAAGACTAGCTTATGAATTACACTTTCATAGCACAAATTACATAAACTATGTCCCAAAGCTTAAATACATCATGTAACTAATCTAAACAAAATTCTAAAGAATAAAGTCAATTAAACAGGGAATTAGAATTCCAAATTAAAATAGGGAAGCCATGTTTCGAACCTCTTGTGTCGGGGCCGCGCAATCGGGCCCTATAAGGACTTAATTTTGTTCCTTCGGATTGTACAAAGTGATTCAATCTCACAAGAGTGTCTAATCCAAATGGGAAGAAATTATACACCTTAAAGTCACTTTTTAAGATCTCAATACCTAGCATTATCATCCAAAACAGAATGCAAAAGGTTTGAATCGAATCGGATAAAGAACAAGAGAGTTATGGCCACATGGTGGTCCTTCGGACCACCAAAACAGCCTTGTATGAAAAGATTATGAACCCCATAGGTAAAAACGTGTTGAAAAAGTTCTGAAAATGGAGTGACAGTCTGAGACTAAATTATTTGATGGGTTTGAACCTAAGTAATTAATGGATATTATGCATGATCATGGATTCTCATTCATATAGGCTACAACTCATGAAGTACTACACTACAAATAAGCATGATAAAAAAGATGATCAAATGGGGATTCTAAGATTAATGAAACTTCTCTAAATTCAAAACTCCATCAACTATAGATGCCTAGGATATAATCTTATGCGAAAAGAAAATTCAATAGAGTTTACCTTGATAAATGCACACTATGGACTTAAGCATAAGAAAGGAAGACCACCATCAAGATTACCATTAATGGAACTCTAAAAGCTCTCTCTCTTCAATTTTCTCTTACAAAACCTTAGAAGAAGGAGGGGAGCAACAATTTTTCAAAATGGTTCAAGAGTTGAGATAGTTAGGGTTTGAGATCTCATGATGTACTTTTATAACATGGGTGTAACTTTGGATTCAATCAACACCCTTGATGCACTATTCTAAAGGCACATGAGAGGCTAATGTACCTAACCACCTATCCCCATCCAACCACTAGGATGAAGGGATGAGATTTCACACCATATCACTCACCCTAACCCTAAGTTATGCCACTTTACCATTTTGTCATTGGCCCATGTTTTTGTTCTAATTGTATCCAATATGGCCTTACAAAAGTACCCTTAGTTTTTTTAATAATGCATTAGAGTAGATAACAACAAAAGCTAAAGAGCAAAGAAGTAATTGGCAAAGCTCACACATGTAGAGATATTCTTTTTTATCAAAGCCAATCACTTTATAGATCTAAAATTTCAAACCAATCAATTTAAAGATAATGTCCCCTTCACACATGTGTGTAAAGACATTTTTTAACTCAAATTTGAAAATGTATTTTCTCTTTAATATCAAATAAATAAATTAATTAAACTTCACACATGTCATGCATGACCCATGTGTGAGTTAATTAAAACATGTGATAAAAATGAGACCTTGATTTATAACATTATATAAAAATATATAACAAGACATCATAACACAACTCCTTATAAAACAAACAGCCAAATGCCAATCTAGTCCCCCGCCTAGGGATCAGTGTCCAGCTGGGCGGTGATCTTAGAGTGAGGTGTGGGGTACCATGTGGCAGCCCTATGGCCACTCGAATGCCGCATGACATTACCAGGTCAGGACTAAAATGAAATTTTAGTCAAACAGTATGAAAACCCTTATTTTTTAGCAAATAAAATTTTGAAAAATTCTCTAAAATTCACAATAAATATTTAAAGTATTTTTTAGAAATTATTAGGTTTTTATCATCATTATAAAATCGGACAAAAAGAATAGTGAGATCTCAGGCTAATAATTATAGGTATCGAAGTACTCCATCGGGCTAGTCCCCAATGACGTTCCGTCGAGTCTCAGATCGACTCAATAAACCTATGTTCTATAGTCTAAAGCAGAGACACATAATTGACCATATCAAAGCTGTTAAACCAGAGCTTCCGATCATTCGACTCTCAATGGATTATAGATGTACTCCTATGGGACATGAACCAACTCAATTACAAGGGTCCTCTTAAAGCACATGTTCACTGACTCTTCCAAACTCGCATAATCCATTTGGAAGAGTGGCTTCCTGTACGAAATGAAAATGCACATGTAATGCAATGGTCTCGTGTCAGGATACGGACTTATGTCACATAAGTCTTGACTATTCCATATATGGTGAATACTCAATAAGTACTCAGGTTCTATTTTTCTCATTTGGATTCTCCAAGGCCTAGCTGATTGCAGCTAAACATGAGGCTAACCTATAAAATCCTGAGTAGGAGGTAACCCTCACACCTCCTTGAGAAATTGCTTTCTCAACACGTGAACTCTTGATGCCTCATGCGTACTCGAGGTAAAAGAATCTGGGCTCCATTTCGCAAGATGTCAATATTTCAATCTCTCAATCGCTCCCACTGAATCAGAGACTACTGGAATTTAAGTCTTGATAGGCTATATTTCCAACAAATACTGCATTTTTAAGCATCGGTGAAATGGCTCCAACATTATACGATGTATGTCAAATATTAATGATACCCATGACAAGTGAGCCTGTAACCGGCATCAGGCCTGAAAACTATATTGCTTTTGTCAAGGAGTATCTGAGAGATTGCCCAAAAGATGTCACCCCGATGTCTCTAAATCATACATGGTTGAGGAGTAGATTCAGCCAACTATAAAAAAAACCATCAAATTACAACTCATGCAACCCACACGAGTATATCTCCTTTATTTAGTTGAAACAACTATATTTCTCGACTCACTTAAAGGATCTGACACTTTTAATATATCTGCAATGGTTTCGAGATTTTAATGAGGCAAAGAAGTATGCATGCGGTGCTGCGGTTCTTGATTTATTGTATCGTTCATTGTCTAAGGTCGTAGGTGGGGAAAATAATCATTTTAGTGGGTCAGCGACCTTACTACAGGTATTTCTCACTATCTATATCATATATATTTAAAGTATTACAATTTATGTAGCTTCTTACTTTTTTTATTTTTCTACAGTGTTGGATCTATGACCATTTTCGAGTTCTAGCTACCATGCATGCATTGGCCATCAACCTAGAGATGCTTATGACTTGCATGTGGAAGAATATCTCGTTTAATATGGTTAGTGATTGGCTTGTGTGCTCATAATGTAGTAGATATTCAACCTATGCTATTAATCTAGTAGATAATGTATTAAGAATGTCTTGCCTTGTTGTTAATATCTCCTGCTTATTTTTGTAGGTGACCTGGCAACTGTATGAGGAGTCGCAGGACATTGCAGAGTACTTCATGTGTCGATCATACCTGATTAGTTTCAACATTGTAGAGTACTATATGCCCGATCGTGTGTTGCAATAATTTGAGAAGATACAAGGTATTCCTGTTATGCCACCCAAGTGGGATAGGAGGGAGAAAGTCGGTGTACATCCCACAAATTGGACTGAAGAATTGGGTAGGCAGATAAAAGATTGGAAACAACGAAAACATGACGTTGTTAAGGCACCCTTAGATAAATCTAATGGAGTACTTACAGAAGAGTACATAACCTGGTACAATATGTTTACGCAAAGAAAAACATCATTTCACCTCCCGTCGCAGTCGCAATCCCATGTACAACCCTCCTCAAGCCAATTGCATGTACAACTCTCCATAGGTCAATCCCAAGATAATATATTGGTATAGTATTTATTATATGTATTTTCTTATTTTATCATTTTAATATATCTTAAAATTATAAAAAACATATCTAACAATCAAATTTGTTTGTTTTCACTATCTACTTGCAGCGACATACATGTATAGAGTTGCTACAAGCTGCACTTAATGGTGAAGTATTGGCCGGGGAATCCAGACGTTATGTATAGGCGGCTCATGATCTGCTACTGACTAACACTTCTGTGGAGAGAGGTGTCAAGGAGATAGTGCGGACTATGGGAGAAGTGAAAAGTTAGAGTGAGGAGGGTGATGAAAGTGAAAGAGAAGAAGACCATGATAATGGAAAAGAAGATGATGATGGAGAAGAGGATGATAGAAGATGATGATGATGATGATGTAGGAGATAATGGTGATAGTGAGCATGAAAATGAGAGAAGAACAAAGGAAAAAGTTGATCACTTTTAAGCGTCGGCATTACAAGAGGAATCGAGGTGGGATTTGCGGCGGAGAGATTGATTTTTTTTTTAATTTTGTCTTAGATATATATATTTCAAACAAATGTTAAGTAAAAAATATGGTTGATTTTGATCGCCATTCATATGTATTTTTGGATTTGATCAGTATGTTTGAAACATATGTTAGGTAAATGATATGGTTGGTTATATTTTGATGTTGAGTTTGATATGCATTTTTGGATTTTACATGCATGTTCGAAACAGATGTTCAATCAAGGGTATGTTACATAAATGAGATATCTCTCTTTATTTGCCTTTTCAATTATGAGAAAGTCATCAAGTTGGAGATTATATATTTTTATGACAATGTAACTTGGTTACCAGATGCGGTTGCTTTCATGCAATGCTAGTTGTTGCTTTGGTAATAAACTATGAAGCCATCAAAGAGAAGTGTAACTACTTTAAGGCTAACATATAACACCACCAAAGACTAACATATAACACCGGTACATAAAATATAAAGCCACCACCAAAGGCTAACATATAATACCACCAAAGGCTAACATATAACACCACTAAAGAGAAACACCTAACTCAGTTCTAACATACAACACCACAAAAGAAAAAAAGCCAACAAAAAAAAAAAAGGTAGTGCAACTCCGACAGTATAAAAAGTTGCTCTGGCAGTACAACAATGCGCTCCGGTATTGAAGGCTCTGGAGCCACAGCGCTCCGGCAGTACACATGTACACTCCGGCAATTATAACAAGATGCTCCAGCACTACATATTTCACAGTTCGACAGTATAGCTACTAGAGCCACAACGCTCCAACAGTCCGTTTACACGCTTCGACAATAGAGAAACACACTCCAGTAGTACAGCTTCTGGAGCAACAGTGCTTCAGCAGTCCGTTTAGACACTCCGGCAATAAAGACAATGTGCTCTGGCAAAATAAGTAAAGCCTCACCTCATAAGTCATTGAAAATTACAATTCAAGCATTAGAAAACATTTATATCAATCATCTTAGCTTGAGTATTATGGTTGTGAAAAAAATTAGGATTTTAAGGTCTAAAATAATATATATATATATATATATATATATATATATATATATATATAT